TCCGACCTGCCAACGACCCAAGGAGAGAAGACGGATTCCAATGTAAATGAATATGCAGCGCGGTGCAGCGCGATGAAGCACATGTATTGGGTGCAGCGCGGTGTAGTGCGGTGAAGCGTGAAGTGGCCATGTGCGTTGCAAGGTGCAAGCGACAGGAGCAAATGCGGTTACATGCGGTTACACATGCGTTGGCCTGCATCAGAGGGGAGGTGACGTGGCAGGGCGTCAGAGGGGAGGTGACGTGGCTGAGCGACGGCGTGCACGGCCCGGAGGACGGCCCAGAGGGGAGGTGACGTGGTGGGGAGCGCGAATAATCCGAGCAGGGGAGGCGAGAATAATCCGAGTCCGTCGCACTGCGCCCATGCGCGTCGCACTGCGCCCATGCGCGTCGCACTGCGCCCATGCACGTCACACTGCGCCTCGAACTGTTCTTCTATCGACAGCCGACCCAACCCTATCGCGGTGATGACGCGAAGAGGTAACCAGCGGTGGCGAAATTAACCGCCACGATTCGAAGGAGAGCGACCATTATGCGGTGAAGCTTTTCGTCTGATGCCTGTGATCACGGCCAGAAACTATCCCAACAGCAAGGAGAAACGAGATGACGGGGGGTTCATGTGACGACGGAGAACCGAGATGATGGCGAGTTCATGTGATGAGGTGACGATCAGCAATGAGGTAACACATTGTGAGTGGGAGCATCGTGAGCGAGCTTCGTGAGTGGGAGCATCGTGAGCGAAAGCATCGTGAGTGGGAGTATCGTGAGCGAGCTTCGTGAGTGGGAGCATCGTGAGCGAAAGCATCGTTAGTGGGAGCATCGTGAGCGAAAGCATCGTGAGTGGGAGCATCGTGAGCGAAAGCATCGTGAGTGGGAGCGAGCATCGTGAGCGAAAGCATCGTGAGTGGGAGCATCGTGAGCGAAAGCATCGTGAGTGGGAGCATCGTGAGCGAAAGCATCGTGAGTGGGAGCATCTTGAGCGAAAGCATCGTTAGTGGGAGCATCGTGAGCGTGGGCAATAAGGTAACACAATGTGGTATTGTACTGTACTGTATGCTGTGCTGTGTGCTGACTATAACGGGTCATCTCGTTTCTCGTTTCTCTGCTTGTTAGGCAAAGCATTTTGCGAACATACGACAGAATTCGTCGCAGCGGAAAATTGCTTTAGGGATGACGTGTCAGTCGGTCGCCAGGTGGATCGACGGCACTGGTCGCGCCATGACGTCAGCCGCTCGTGTAAACGCCGCGCCGCGTCAGGAGATCATCTTATCGCGATATCTGTGCGTCACGCCTAACGGTTTACGCGATCGTCTAGAATGCCGGCGCGCGTCAGATGTCAGCAGAAGCGGGATTGCCGGTCGACCGCTGTTGTTGGGGGAAGGCGTTAAAAGCGCGATCCGGATCACCCTGGTTGTAGCAGATCGCAGATACCCGCTGCGTTGGAGTTCATTCATAAGCAGACTAGTTTTGATAGGAGGTCGCTCGTATGCTCGCGATCCGCTAGTGCGCCTTGCGTCACGAGCGCCATTCACGGCGGTTGGCGATTCGCGCCCGAGATTCCCCCGATTAGCTTTAGCCCCAACAGCTCGACAGGTCGTGGCGGCGCGATTGGCGCGCAGCATGCGCTTAGCTTCCGGCGATTTAGCACGACGTGCCATGTGCGGGCGGGAAGCGGGAGCGCGGAGGCACGGGATGGCGCGGGGAGCGGCGCGGATGCGCGCGCGGAACGGGAGGGGTTCGCGGCGGACGGGATCATCGTTCTGGCGCGCGGACTGAAACGCGACGGCAGCGTTCCACGTGCGGTGCGATTGGGCTAGGTTCGCTGTACTGCTCCGTCGCCCCTTGCACCTCAACAGCGCTTATGCAGTCTTCCCATGATAATCCCCATGCCCCCACTCTTCATTCCCATCTCGCCTTCCCCTTTCCCCACTCACCATTTCCACTTCTCGTCCCTTCCCCTTCCCCGTCTCCTCCCCGCTCCCCTCCCCCTTCCCCATCATCCCCCTCGCCCCGCAGAGCAGAGTGGGTGGCGCGGCGCCTGGATGCGGTGGCGGAGCTCTACCGCGCCGTGAACGGGGGGGAGGGGGAGAACACCGCCCTGAAGGGGGGGCAAAAGGACGCCTCCGCCGCCGCCTCCGCCTCCGCCTCCCCCAACGCCCCTCTCAGCACATGCCGCTGCCCCATAGTGGTGCTGGGGGCGGGCACTCCGCACGTGCAGCCGGTGCTGAGTCGGCACGGTCACATGTGGCATGAGAGCAGCGCATGCGCTCAGTACCTCGTGGACAAGGAATAATGGGCAGCTAGCATGTGGGGCAGATGGAATGTGGGGCAGGTAGCATGTGGGGCAGGTAACATGTGGGGCAGGTAGCATCTGGGGCAGGTAGCACCTGGGGCAGGTAGCATCTGGGGCAGGTAGCATCTCGGGCAGGTAGCATCTGGGGCAGGTAGCATCTGGGGCAGGTAGCATGTGGGGCAGGTAACATGTGGGGCAGGTAGCATCTGGGGCAGGTAGCATCTGGGGCAGGTAGCATCTGGGGCAGTTAGCATCTGGGGCAAGTAGCAGTACCTCGTGGACAAGGTAGCCAGGTAGCATCTGGGAAAGGGTGCTTACTGTCAAGATAGCAGGCGAAAACGAGAACAGCAAAGAGAGGTTTTCACTAGCAGGCAGTTGAGTACATATAGCAAACCCTAATTCGGGCTGTACTCGCTATAGAGTACCCCACTGCAGGCTAGACAAACATATCATTCTGACACACCCCCATAGTCAAAGTGGGGTACAATCAACACAACAAACAGGCAAAGCAGTAGTTCACAATTATAAGCAAAGCTAGAGACTATCACAGAGGGCAAGTGAGGAGGAGGAGAAACTGTGGGGCGAGAAGATGGGAGGCGGCGGCTGAAGCTGCAGACACTGGGGCAACAGGAGTGCGCAGAACTGTCGCTACCAGGCTAAACCCGGACTACACGGCGACAGGCGCAGCTAGCTTGCTGTGCTCCCAGGAGTGCTCACACTGTGGCTACCGGGCGCAGAGCCCCGGACTACTCAGGCCACAGGGGGTCGTGGCTCTCTGGACTACCAGGAGTGCTCACACTGTGGCTACCGGGCGCAGAGCCCCGGACTACTCAGGCCACAGGGGGTCGTGGCTCTCTGGACTTCAGGCGCTGCGGACGACAAGACGACTGCCTCCACTCAACTTCCCCCAGCTGTCCCACACCCGTGTCACACACCCCCTGCTGCACCTCTAGCACTGCTCACACGCCACCCCCCTCGTACAACTCCGACGGCTCCAACACATCCACCCCCTCAGCGGCAGCTGCAGCAGTGGGAGACGGAGGAGGAGGAGGAGCAGGGGACGGCTCACACACACGGCACCCCCATACTCTCCACCCCCAAACCCTAAAACAGGAGCGCGGGCAGCAGCAGGGGTGGGGCGCGGTCAGCAGCTCGGGGGAAGGCGTGCGCAGGCCGAACGAACCGCGCGCGGGCTGCCCGGGCCGCGCGCGGGCCTGGCGCAGCCCGTACGGGCCGCGCGCGGGCCTGGCGCAGCCCGTACGGGCCGCGCGCGGGCCTGGCGCAGGCCGTACAGGCCGCGCACAGGCTGTACGGGCCGCGCGCGGGCCTGGCGCAGCCCGTACGGGCCGCGCGCGGGCCTGGCGCAGGTCGTATGGGCCGCGCGCGGCCCGCGCGGGGCCCAGGGGCGCTTCGACGGGCGACGGGGGGCGCTTCGACGGTCGACGGGGGCCGACGCGCGGGTCGACGGGGTAGGAAACCGCCGCGCGCCTCGGGACGCACGCCGGGCAGAAAACCGCCGCGCGATTCGTGCGCGCGGCGAGCAGAAAACCGCCACGCGCCCCGAGCGCGTGGCGGGAAGAAAAATCCGTCGCGCGCCACGGGGCGCGCGACACACAAGACAGCAGCGGAAGCATCGGGCGGGACCACCCACAGGATCGACCCAGGAGGGTCGACCTGCTCTGATACCATGTCAAGATAGCAGGCGAAAACGAGAAGCAGCAAAGAGAGGTTTTCACTAGCAGGCAGTTGAGTACATATAGCAAACCCTAATTCGGGCTGTACTCGCTATAGAGTACCCCACTGCAGGCTAGACAAACATATCATTCTGACACTTACACCTGAGGGGGGATGGTTGTGCGACTGAGCATTGTGAGTGAGAGCGTGAGTGAAATGCTGTGCAATGCATTCCTGTGTGGAACGTTGCTCATGCTTCCCGACTTCCAACGCCCCCACCCGCCACACCTGTCCGTCCCATTTCCTCCCCACAGCACGGCATCCCCTCCTGCCCACAAATACAAGGAGTGGGCGTCATACAACACCATGGCGAACGGGTTCTTCTCGCTGGTGTGGCACGCGGTGCTTGCTCGTTCCCGTCCTCCCCCCTTTCCAGGCAACTTCACTTCACAGCATGGGAGCGCGCGATGGCACGGTACTTTGGGGCGGGGAGTGTCGCATCGCATCATCCCACAACAGCTTCACCTTCTCATGCATCCCTCTCACACACACATCCCAAACCCGCCCCTTCTCCCATTCCCATCCCCGGCCCCTTTCCAGGCAACTTCATGGTGTGGGAGTGAACGATGGGGGGGTATTTTGGCGGGGGCGACATGTATGTTATCAGCAAGAAGTTTAAGAAGAAGCACAGCGAGCGAGCGCCATGTATGTGTATAGAAGACGAGCGAGCACACAACGCTCAATCAGGCAGCGGATAAGTGGGTGACGGCTCTCGGTAACAGGAAGTTTTTTGGTAAGCTGCCTGAGGGGTGCTTCGGGTGCGTGGGGTGAGAGGGGCGAGTGGTGTGCTGGGTACATTTCCTAGTGATGTTGTGCTTTAGGCTCGGCTGGTGACATTTTTTCTCTAGGTAGGTCGGGTGAGGTGTGATGGACTGTGGTATGAGTCTGTGTGTGCTCCTTTGTTGCAATCTTGCCTGTGCTGTTTGCCATGCTAAGGTGGTCTGCGCTCTCTCTGCCCTGATTCCATGCCAACAGAAGCACAGACCCCCCAATCAGGAACCTGAGGCCCATGATACGAGCGCATGGAGCAGCACGTGGGCGCCTCTGCTAGGATCACCGCCGTTGAAGATGCTCCTGTTGATAGTGACGCTATTAATGGTGCTGCTGCGGGCAAGTAGGCGTGGGGGCAAGGCGGGGTATGAGTGCGTGGAGGTGCGTATGGGTGCTTCTGCCAGGACCACTGCTGCTGCAGATGCTTCTGTTGAAGCTGCCGCCAGATGATGCTGCTGCTGATGGGGTTGCTGCTTTCCATGGTCGCAATGTTGCTGCAGATAAGCAGAGCTGTGAGGTGCACTTGGGAAGACATGCTATAGAATCTGAATTTGAAGGGCTGCGACTCTGTCACTTGTAGCTGCTTGAGGCCTGCTCAAGTTGCTGCGTCTGCTAGTGGTGATGCTGCTCTGGGAAGCAGGTAGGGGGTTTGAGTTGAGGTTTGCAGAGGTGAAGGCCCTGCTGCGTTATGGTGAATGGATGGCTGTTTAGCGGCTATGATATGAAACTACCGTACGTGGGTTCCTGAGAGTGTCCACACGTGGGAAATGGCATCATATTTCTGCAGTGGAAAGGGGCACTGAGCACTGAAAGGGTGGTGGTTGTGATTCGGGTGATGCGACCAGCTCTGCAGTGGCTGATTCCTTATTGTTCAGTGATAGTGATTATGGAAGGGAAGTGCGGTAACAGGTAACTCAAGTGCCGATTCAGAAGCTCTAAATAACTAGTTGTGAAGGCAAAAAACGTATGTTAATGTTGTTAAAGCCCGCAGCCTGAATTGCAAAACTGAAGGCGATGTATAAAGGTATGACATTCTTTTGTGGGAAAATAAGAACAACAAGCCACTATTGTCTAACAAAATTTGGATGATTTCTTGTGTGGGGTAGCGGCTTTCACTCTACAGCGAAGCGGAAGGAATTTGCGACGGTGACCGAGGTGAAATTGAAGGGCTGGATTGGTTGGCTTCCTGCGGTAATCTCCAACAGCTGAGAACAGTACACACGATGTCCGTTTGACTAACCCAAGGTTGCCTTGTGAAGGGGGCGCTTAAGTGATTCATGCATTTCGTGGAGGTTTCGTCAATTCGCATCGGGCAAAAAGGGCTTATAGCAAAATTTTGTAACTCACCGTTGACTGTTTGACTTCGGTCTCTTCTGTTTCTGTGGTTCGTATTGGTTGACGTGCTTGTAACGTGGGTGCAACTGCCCGGGAAAAAACCTTCGTGTGCAAGGTTTTCTGGAATGTACGAGGCAATTTTGCGTGCAGGGGTTGGGCATTTTGTGTACACCAGTCCCCCCCCTTTCCCAAAAGCAGAGCGAAAATCTCGAATCCCCCTTCAGCCCGACTGAAGTCGGCTGACGTTTGCTGCCACAGGAAATCGTCGTGTCACTAAATGGCGCTCGCGTGGGTGAATTTCTCATCGATTTGCAAGTCTCCTCCTGTCTTATCTCCGCGTCAACCATGCCGCGCCGCCCTGCTCATACAGCTTTGCTACTTCTTCATCACTTGACAATCTCGTGTTTTCTTCAGTTCCAAACCACCGCCTCTTAGAACCGACATTGGCAAGACCATACGGGCTTTTCACTTGGCGTGTACAGATCACAGGAGGGCTTGTCACATCGTTGACGATGCCTGTACGGAAGGTCCAACGGCGACGCCATGGATGCATCATCCTCCCTCGCTCTACTTTCCCAAAGCCGCCTCGTCAACTTTTGTACAATCGAGCATTTTCACTTTCAGCTGCTCCTGGGATTTTCCTGCCTTCGATTTTGAGCATTCTACGCTGAACAACTCTCGACCTAGAGACCACCAGCATGGCGGCCCCAGCCTCAGAACCCCGGACTCTAGAGCGGCTCTGCTCGTCCAAAATCGCTAAGCACCTCAAGCGCGCTTCGTCCCTGTTGGGCTCGGGCGACCTGTGGCAGATGCACGCCGACGCGGAGGAGGAAAAGGCCGCAGCTCTCGCCGCTCAACGCGGCGACGGCGCGGGTTCCGCGCGACGGCAGTGGAAAATGAGCAGCGTCGTCGCGCGCATCGAGACGTCGCTGTCGCGCTTCACGTGGCGGAAGCCGCCTCCCTCCCCCTCCACCTCGAGCAAGCCGCTGAGGTCGCCGACAGCCCCGAGCGTCACCGCCGATCCGCCAGCGCTGTCGCCGAATTCTTCCAATCCTGCGTCGAGAAGGTTCAAGCAGCGCGGCGCGGCGGAGTCGCAGATTCAGTTCCGCGTCTCCCCGTCGCCGCTCGCCTCCGCAGCGAGCCGCGCTTCTGCGGAGCTCGATTCCGCTACCCGCCCGCAAGCGCCATGCCGCCCACGTCAGCGCCACGCGGGAGGAGCCCGTCGGTCGCGGCGCGCCTGCTGCTCCTCACCGCGGGCGGGCGAGCTTGAGCATGGACGATGGACAGCTGCGCGCATGGCAGCACCTCGCTGGAACAACCCCGTCAGACAACGTTGAGCGAGATGCCGCTGATGGGAATGGCATCAACAGCGACTTGGAAAACGAAATATCGTACGCAGAGATGCAGGATTTGCATGTGGCGGGGGAATCTAGCCGTAGTGACGTGGGAGAGGGATCTTCAGCGCGAATGGTGCATTTCAGCAGGCGGAGCACTCACAGTAGCCCGCTGCGGCAGCAGACTAACGACAAGTGTCAGAGCAGCAAAACCATGCGGAGCCCTGCTAGTACCAGAGGCAGTGGGAGGGTCACCAGAAGCGCTGCTACCAGCGGGAGGGTCGCAGGGAGCCCTGCTAGCATCAGCGGGAGGGGCGGCAGCAGCAGGGCTATGGTGATTGGCGTGTCGCGGGCGCTCACCCCACCTTCCAGCCCTAGCGTCAAGACATTCTCCTTCGAAATGTACCGACGGCAGCAGATTTAGGGTGCTGGTGCTCTCTCGTCAATTGTTAGTTTGGGTCTTGCTGGCTCAAGCTGCTTGCTTCAAGTTCCGTGACAGTGGGGGGAAGATTAGCTGTATCTATCTAATAGGGAAAAGGCGAAATGGGTGCAGTTCTTAGGGGGCTCATTGTAGGGTGCTGCCGTATATTCAATTTGTCTAGAAAATTTGGTGGGGAGTCCACCTTAGTTGTTCAACGGTTTCGGTTGGATCCATACGGAGACTCGAGGATGCTTTTTGCGGAGCCGCTGACTTGCCAAACTCGGTTTGCCCTCGCATTACCGCATTGAAAATCACCAAAACGAACGAAACCGTGATCGCGGCATGGTCAACGCGCTTTTCTTCTTTGTGTTTCTGTTTCCTGAAGTTGCTATCTTGGCCTCAACCCCTTGCATTTCTGCGATCGCCCCCGTGTCGGTCGCCCCCGCGTCGCACACTTCCTCGTGTACACACATCGCATTGAAAACGATCGTCGAGCTCGCGTTTTGGCGGGTCTTTTAGTGATGACGTGTCAGTCGTTCGCCAGGTGGATCGACGGCACTGGTCGCGCGGTGACGTCAGCCGCGCGTGCAAACACCTCGCTGCGACACGCCGTCATCCTATCGCGACTCCAAACCGTCAATTCTGACTGTCTACGCGATCGTCCAGAATGCCGGCGGGCGGCGAATGACAGAAGCGGCGGGACTGCGGGACGGCCGTTGGTGTTGCGGGGAGCCGTTGAAAGTGCAATCCGCATCTCCGCTGCGCGCTCCGATCGCCCTCGTTATAGCAGATCTAAGTCACCCATCGCTTATGTGTCCCCTCAAGAAAAGACTAATTTTAGGAGGTCGCTGGTATGCTCGCGATCCCCTCGCGAGCCGCGCGTCACCAGCGCCATTCACGGCGGTTGGCGATCCACGCCCGGCATTGCCGCGATTACGCCGTGTGGCCCGCCAGGACGTGTCGGCGCGATTGGCCCGCAGCGTGCGCGTAGCTTCCGCCGAAGTAGCACGATCTGTCTGGTGCGGGCGGGAACCGGGAGCGCGGAGTCACGGCATGGCGCGGGGATTGGCGCGGGGATCGGTGCGGATGCGCGCGCGGAACGGGAGGGGTTCGCGGCGGACGGGATCATCGTTCTGGCGGGCGGACTGAAACGCGACGGCAGTGTTCCAGGTGCGATTTTACTGCTCCATGGCGTCCCGCAGCAATAGCCCCTTGCATCTGCAGCCCAATTGCATTCTTCCCATGATAATCTTACGTGCTTTCTTCAATCCCATCTCATCTTTCCTTTTCCCCATCACTATTTTCTCTTCCCTTCACTTCCCCTTCCCCGTCTCCTCCTTCAACACCCCCCTCCCCCCTTCTCCCCTCTTCCCCGTCATCCTCCCCCCTCTCCGCGCAGAGCAGAGTGGGTGGCGCGGCGCCTGGATGCAGCGGCGGAGCTCTACCGCGCCATGCACGGGGGGGAGGGGGAAGCGGCCGTGAACGGCGGGCAAAGTGACGCCTCCGCCTCCGCCTCCGCCTCCACCTCTGCATCCCCCAGCCCTTCCGCCAATACCTGCCGCTGCCCCATAGTGGTGCTGGGGGCGGGCACTCCGCACGTGCAGCCGGTGCTGAGTCAGCACGGACACATGTGGCATGAGAGCAGCGCGTGCGCTCAGTACCTCGTGGACAAGGTAGCATCTGGGGCAGGTGGCGTCTGGGGCAGGTAGCACCTGGGACAGATGGCATCTGAGGCAGGTGGCATTTGGGGCACGAGGCATTTGGGGCATGTGGTATATGGGGCAGGTAGCACCTGGGGCAGGTGGCATCTGAGGCAGGTAGCATCTGGGGCAGGTAACAGTACCTCGCGTTGAGGGTGTGTGAGTGAGAGAGTGAGAGAGTGTGAGTGAGTGTGTGTGAGACTGCGAGTGAGTGTATGAGTGAGATGCGCTGTAGTGCATTTCTATGTGGCATGTCTGATTTTGAGTCGACTCAATCCATTGTGAGTGTCAACTCCCCCTGCCCCCCTCACTAGTCTCCCCACACACCGTCCCCTCCCCACATCTGCTCCCCTCTCCTCCCCCTTATAGCACAGCATCCCCTCCTCCCACATCTACAAGGAGTGGGCATCCTACGACACGGTGGCAAATGGCTTCTTCTCCCTCGCGTGGCCCTTCGAAACAGATCCTTCCCATTCCCTCCCCCCTCACTGCTCCTCCAATTTACAGCACGGCATTCCCCCTCACCACATATACAAGGAGTGGGCGTCGTACGACACGGTGGCAAACGGCTTCTTCTCGCTGGTGTGGCACGCCGTGCCGCGGCGCTGGCAGCGCCTGCTCGTGCTCACCTCCGCCTTCCACATGCCGCGCTCCGCCCTCATCTTCCACTGGATCTTCTCCCTCCATGGCTCCTCCCATTCCCTTCCGCACTCTCCGAACTCTCCTCCGCTGCTTTCAATCCCCCTCCTCCTCCTCCTCCTCCTCCTCCTCCTCCTCCTCCTCCTCCTCCTCCTCCTCCTCCTCCTCCTCCTCCTCCTCCTCCTCCTCCTCCTCCTCCTCCTCCTCCTCCTCCTCCCCCTCCCCCTCCTTCCTCCCCCTCTCCCCCTTGCGGCCACCACACGGCAAGTGGGAGGAGTACATTCCCCCCTGGAGGGGGGACCATGGGGGAAGGGCGGACGGAAAAGAGGAGACTGTGGAGGGGGGAGGTGCATTCAGGGGAGGGTGGTCTGCAGGACAGGGTGGGCAGAAGGCAGGGGGGAATGGGGCTCTGTTGGGGGATTCACCTGATCAGGTGGTTTCTCAGGTGCTATTGCCCGGGGATCCGTTGGAGCAGGGCTATGAGATTCGGTTCATCAGCGCATCGGATGCCGGCATTGATCCTGACATGATTCAGGTGAACTCACACTGCCCTATACATACCATCTTGAAATTACCATGAACAGGTGCCCCCACCTCGCTATGAGATTCGGTTCATCAGCGCAGATGCCGGCATCGATCCTGACATGATTCAGGTGCTTCCCACCCCATCCATGCTCCACTACACACACCATCTTCATGCCATGGGCATACCATCTGCCATGATTCAGGTGAACCCACGCTGCCATGTTTCAGGTGACCCACGCTCCCCTGCACACACCATCTGCTTGAATCGGCATGTCACCTGCATGGCATCACTGTTTGCAGCACAGAATCACAACACTCCATCCAAATGTGCTCTCCTCTCCCCCTCCCCTTTCAGCCGTGCTGCAGCAACGAGGCAGACAGGATTCTCCTGCTGATGCCGTGCATACCGCATCTGCATCTTCTCCCCGCCTCGTCCTCGTCCTCACCACCCTCTCCCAACACTCCCCCCTCTGGTATCCCCCGACCCTCTCAGGCCCGGCAAAGCAAGGAAGCAGACAGCATTGCATCAGCGGTCACCCTACCAGCCTTCCACCGCACCGCTACATGCACACGCAGCACCCCGCCCAATTCTCCCTTTTCTGCTCAATCCCCCTCCCTCCCGGCAAAGCAAGGAAACGGACACATTGCTGCTGCTGCTGCCCTACATTGCTTCAGTGCGCTCCCTGCCAGCCTTCCACCACACCGCTACATGCACACACAGCACCCCGCCCAATTCTCACTTGTCTGCTCCATCCCCCTCCCTCCCAGGCCCGGCAAAGCAAGGAAGCGGACAGCATTCGACTGCTGCTTCCCTACATTGCTTCAGTGCGCTCCCTTCCAGCCTTCCACCACTACATGCACACAGAGCACCGAGCATACAACGTGCAGCACCAGGAGGAGTTTGGGCGGGTGAAGAGTGCAGAGGAGGCAGCGTTTGATCCCATCAAGCTGTGCTATTGACAGGGTGTGGAGGGATGTGGATGCGTGGTACGTGGTTGAACGGAGAGGCCGTAGAGTCTGCCAGCCTTCCACCACTACATGCACACGGAGCACGGGGCTGTGATGTGCAGCATCAGGAGTTTGGGCAGGTCAAGGGCGCAGAGGAGGCAACGTTTGATCCCATCAAGCTGTGCTTCTGAAGGGGTGTGGAGGGATGTGGATGGGTGGTACCGTACGTGGTTGAACAGAGAGGCTGCAGAGAGTCTACCGGCTTTCCACCACTACATGCACACGGAGCACCGAGCGTACAATGTGCAGCACCAGGAGGAGTTCAGAGGGGGCGGTGAAGAGTGCAGGGGAGGCGACGTTTGATCCGACCAAGCTGTGCTATTGAAGTCATTTCAGTGGTGGCTGAGTTTTTCAGTGCTATGCGGACAGCAGGCCAGGGCCCAAAATATCAGGGTAAAATGCCCTGATTACCCTGGGGGCCGGCCGTTTTTTCAGAGTTACCCTTTCAAAATCAGGCTTCCAAGATTTTTTCCCTTACGCAAAAAGAGTATGTTTTTTTTTACACTGATAGCGATTTCGGCTACCCTGGCTGTATCAGGGTGCGCTGTACATTACACTTGATACAGAATCCTCTGTAGCGAGGATTTTCGTTGCGAAATGGCAAAACTGATCCAACTATCTGGATTTGAACCCGCCACCTTGAGATCTGAATCTGCACATATAACAACTGAGACACACACGAATAGTTTTGTATCGATTGTAGCATTCTCTCTATTGTTACACTGAGCAGAGTGCGCGTCAAGGACAGCTTCGTGCTACTTTATTGTTACTGTAGAAATTACTAGTAGTGAAAACAGACTAGATATAGAATTACCCTGCCGAAATCAGTGTAATGGTAGATTTACCCTGCTGCCAACAGGGTACGGAAAATTTTACCCTAGGGGTCTGTTCAAGGAGGGGCTGTTACCCTGATTTGTAAGGGTAGGCCAAAACCAATTTTGGGCCCTGCAGCAGGCCCCCAGAAGTCAGAGAAATTTCTCTGATTTGCATGAAAAACTCTGAGAATTCAGAATCTTTGTCAAGTGAGGTCTGTTAAAATCAGAGATTTTTGGGCCCCAACTCTGTAATTTCCAGAGAAATTTTAGAGCTAACTCTGACGTTTCAGAGTTTTCCAGGAGTGTACTCTGATCACTGAGGGGGAATGAGGTGTGGCTGTGAGGGATGGACATGGCGTGATGGAGATGCATGACTGACCTCGCTGATAAGTTGCTGTAGCAGGGTGGAGCAGACGGGGTCGGGTGCATTAGCGAAGATGAGGAGAATGCGCCGCAGCAAGGCCAGCGTCAGATCGCCACAGACCTGCCACACACACACCTGTTGTCATGTGTGCACACTGTCAAAATGAGGAATGAAATTAATCCATTGATGTTGGTTGGGGTACATATAGCTAACCCTAAGTTTTGTACCCCCTAAGACAAACCTCACTATAGGCTACAACATTTGACACACCCCCATAGCCTAAGTGAGGGGTGTCTAGCAGAACCAAACGAGTACGGTCACAAGACCAGTCCAAGAAACGAAGCTCAGGGTGGATCACAACGTCACCACACAGTCTGAGCACAAACAACAGTGGCCACAAGGCCAGTCCAAGAAGTAACAGAGGTATATAGAAAGCAAAGTAAACAGTACACTCAAGTCTAAGCAACACGAGAACCAGTGTCAACAAGGCCTAACTGCACACAGCACCTCTGGTGGTCACAAGGCGGAAGCGCCTTGGTGAAGATGTCTGCAGTGTTGGCCTCGGACTCCACAAACTCAAAGCGAGCCTGTCCACGCCTCTGCAACTCTCGCAGAAGAAAGTACCTGACGTGAATGTGCTTCACTCTGCTCTCCAGTCGTGGCTCTCGACAAAGGAGAATAGACGCCTTGTTGTCAGTGAACAAGGTCGGTGCAGAGCTCGGCCGCTCACCAAGGTCGGTGAGCAAGAAGGTCAACCAACGCAGCTCCTGTGCCGCCATGGCACCAGCGTAGATCTCAGCCTCAGCTGTAGAGGTCGAGACCGAAGAGGAGCGCGTGGACCGCCAGGAAACAGCTCCAGAACCCAGGCTGAAATAGTACCCCTGAGTAGACCTGTGAGTCTCAGCGTCGTCAGCGTAAGAGGAGTCACAGTGACCAGTAAGTACGACAGACTGCTGCCCTCCAAGAACTAGCCCCACGCCTGACGTCGTCGCTAGGTACTTCGCCACCCTCACAGCTGCTGTCCAGTGAACAGGACGGTGTCTCCCTGGCGCAACAAAGCGCGCAAGAACGCTGAGAGGGAAGGCAAGGTCCGGGCGAGTACAAGTCATCAGGTACATGAGGCAACCCACAAGCTCAGCGTAGGGACCACTAGGCTCGAACGGCTCGTCAGGAAAGGGTCCAGTGAGTCTGTGGTCAACAGCAAGAGGTGTGCGCTGTACTGTGGAGTGCTGAAGCCCGAACCGCTGAAGGACCTGCTGCACCATGTGCGACTGTGAAAGTGTAATGGTGCGAGCAGCTCTGTCCCTGGTGATCTGCAGGCCAAGGTAGTGGCGCAGCTCACCAAGATCAGTGCAGGTGTGTCTCTTCTGCAGTTCGGACTTCACGTGTGCCAAAGCAACCCTGTCAGGGGTGGCGAAAACAAGGTCGTCAACGTAGACCAGAACAAAGAAAGGTGTGGGGCCACGACGAACGAACAGCGACGGGTCAGCAGAAGACGGCTGGAACCCAAGGTCAGACAGGGTAGAACGCAGGGTGTCGTGCCACTCACGAGGAGCCTGACGAAGTCCGTAAACCGGTCGCCTCAGCCTCCACTGGGTCCCAGGAGGGAAAGAGCCAGTGAAGGCAGAGGGACGACGCAACCAGACCTCCTCGTGAAGACTGCCCTGAAGGAAAGCAGTAGAGAAGTCGAGAGAGTGTAACTCGTAGTCTCTCTGTGCTGCTACGTGTAGTAACACCCGAAGAGTGGTCATCTTCGGGGTGGGCGCGAAGGTCTGAAAGAAGTCAACTCCCTCGCGCTGACTGAAACCTCTAGCCACGTAGCGCGCCTTGAAGACCGGAGGAGATCCCGGTGGCCGCTTCACCCTGTAGATCCACATGCCGTCGACTACGTTCGCCCCCGGAGGGGGAACCTCATCGACGTAGGTGCCTGTGGATCTGTAGGAGGCCATCTCTGCGTCCATGGCAGCTCTCCACTGAGAGGCCCAAGGCCCTGACACTGCCTCAGCGTAAGTGCGAGGAGTCGGAATGTCAAGGGCGTCGGGGTCACCCTCAGGGGCGAGGAGCATGGCACAGAGATGAGGGGAAGCGGCGGCCAGGAACTCTAGCTCAAACTGCCTGTCCTCTAGGGCGTCACTGCCAAGGGCAGACACACCCCCGACGGCCAGAGGACTGGAAGGAGGAGCAGCCACAAGAGCGGTGGCGAAGTCAAGGCGGCGGGTAGAGGCAAACTCAGTGACTGCGGCAGTAAGAGCGGACACAGAGGACACAGAGGCACGAGGGTGGGTAACAAGAGAGGCGAGAACACGAGAGAGAAGAGGACGGTACGTGCGGTAGTAGTCAGTGACAGGAGTAGGGAGCGACGCAGTGAGAGCCGACTCAGGAGGAGACGGAAGCACAGACGGAGACGGACGAGGTGGACTAGAACGAAGTAAGGCAGTACGAAGGTCAGTGAAGGGAACAGGAGACGAGGGACGAGCACGAGGGGAGCGACGAGAGGCCCAAGTCTGAGAAGGAGGAGGAGACAACGAAGACTGAGAACGAGGGAAAACAGCGGGAGAGGGGTCAGGAGGAGGAAGCGGAGGACCAGAGACGGGAGGAGAGGGGGAGGAGGAAGGAGAGGGAGACGGGAGACCAAGGGTCCGAAGACCCGAGACAGGAGGAGGAGACGGCAGCAGCTGCTGCTGCTGCTGCGGCTGCTGCTGCTCCAGCGGCTGCTGCCTCTGCTGCTGCTCCTGCTGCTGCTCCTGCTGCTGTCGCTCCTGCTCCTCGAGCCGCTGCAACTCTCTCTCCTCTCTCTCCAACTCCAGCTGCTCCTCACGAGCACGGCGAACACGAGCCTGGAACCTGGTCGGGTAGGGGTGGGGGGAAGGAGTAGTGTCCGGGGCAGCGGCAGCCCCAGAGTCGACCTCCGAAGCACCAAGCACACCACCCCCAGAGGCAGCACCAACACCAGCTCCAGACCCAGGCTCTCCAGAAACCGAAGGGACACCCTCACCCCCAGACGCAGCACCCCCAGACTCCGCACCAGCACCCCCAGACTCCGCACGACCAGTACCAGCCCCCGGAAGACAAGAGTCCTCTGCAACCCGCGGCTCAGCTCCAACTCCAGCACCCCCAGAACCAGAGACCTGTACAGGGACAGTCGCAGGACCAACCTCCCGAGAGGGAGCACCTACAGGAGGCGGTGAGGAAGACTGTGGGGAGGGAGGCTGTACAGGGGGGGCTACCGAA